GCGAGACTTCGAGCTCAACCATGAAGTGCTCGGGGGCTTGTCGATCACGGGACCCACAGGATACCCCCGCAAGGGAGAGAGAAGATCTAGTTCAACTAGGATTCTTCCCATGTAATCTTAGTAATAGAACTATTAAGTAATCCTACTAGGAAATCTCATTGTAAACCGACTAGGACTCTGGCCTCCTGACTATATAAAGGAGGGCAGGGCTCCTGAGAGAGGAGGACATTTGTACAACATAACACTTCATAATCAATCCAACGCAAAGGCCAACGCCGACTGGACGTAGGGTCGTTACTCGATCTACGATCGAGGGCCTGAACCAGATAAATCGATCGCCTCTCTTGCGCTTACGTTTATCGAGTTCAACATACGCCGAAGCTTTGAACATATCTTGCCCAGGTACCCCGTGGCGAGCTATCGATGGTGAAACATCGGCAGTGTGGGACGTCGGAGGATGAGGACCCGAGAGATACCCTCGTTCGACCACTCGCCCTCTTCCCCCCACCAATTGGGCACCTAAACTTGGCGGATCAGTGCTTACGGAGTTGTGGGTAAGCCTTTCTCGCTCTCGACCCTCAATTCATTGCATTCATTGGACATTCTTGAAATAAAATAATGGATACCTCGTGTCTTTATGCAGGACTTCTTCAGATGCCAGCCGGGACAGGAGTTAAGGGCGCATGAGGTGGCTGCCGCTTCCTATGGAAGGCGTGTCTCGGACTTGTATCACGAGTCCCGCCTCCAGGCGCACATTGACTACAATGCCACCTACCGTAATAGAAGAATGAACAGAACTCAGGCAAGAAGAGAGATAGAGATTCTGACAAGGGAGCAGTACCTACAGGTAAATAGAAAACATCTCCTATTGATCTCTTTTTAGATTAACTATGCCTAATTTGATCTTCTGATGGCTTGTAGGTGATTCCGAGCTGGTGCGCCACCTTTCCCGATTGCTGGGCTGCTATAGTGAACAAATGGTTGGACGCGGACTAGCAGAAGGCGCACCAAGAGAAAAGCGAGCACCGTATGCTGATGCCAGGTGTACCTCACCATCAGGGCAGCGCCACTCTCAGCAAATACAAAAAGACATATGTAAGTCTCCACCACTTGTCTAATCTAGCCGCGCTCAATTCTACATGATTCCTAACCACATGTTGTTGTCTTTCTCGTAGGAGGCGGCGCACGGTGGCCAGCCAATTGGCCAACTCACGGTGTATGCTCTGGCCCACATGGGTCCATCAAAGTCCAACATCGAGTACAACCCGGATGCGGGCCCAGAGGCGTACACCAACTCCAGCGTCCACACCCGCCTCAGTTCATACACGGAGGCGTCAAGGTTAGTCCACGGGTCAGACTACGATCCAAGGACTGAGGAGCGCCTTGATCCTGAGCTAGTGATGAGGATTAGACAAGGCAAGAAGCATGGGCGGTTTTACATGGGCGACGGCATCCTCGAGACGGGTTGTACTCCTCCTCTCAACCGCCTACGAGCAGCGAGCACGAGCTCTAGCGTGCCCATAAGCCAACGGCCGACAGCGGTGGCTTCAATCCAGGTAAGTATTCCAGTTTCATTCGTCGTTCCTTCACTTTTACGTTCCTTAGCTCTGCATTATTGAAACATTGGGGTCAAATGTTGCGGCCGAGCTGCAAAGAACTTCGGTCTCAACAAAAGAGTTTGGCTGGCCGAAAGGGAGGCCGAAAGCGGGCGAGAGGGAGTCAAAGCGTCGGAGGGTACAAGCTTTGGAGGCCCAAAGAAGATGGTTTGCTCAAGTTCGTGCAACAACTTGGGCGAAACAAGGTTGGGAGATCCCAGCAGAGCTGCTTGCACCACCACCACTATATCGTCGAGAGTCTACTCCGGTGAGTATGAGTACGGATGTTTTACTTTCTTTGCTCATGCTTAGTGTCAAACCTAGTGATGGCCTTCGTGCCGGATTTGTTGATGTGTCGGCATTCGTGCGGAATTGTTGATGTGTTGGCCTTCGTGCGGAAATGTGGTTGTCGGCCTTCGTGCTGGCGTTTTTCTTGCAGTTTTGGAAACCTCCCGTGCGAGGGGAGGTGCTGCCAAATTTTCAACTTTTCTTTACACTCCTTACATTTTTATCTTGTCACTCACGTGCAATCTCCTCTCTTTTTGCAGCATCAATCGGGTGGGGCGTCGAACCATGTCGAAGGGTCGCCAAACATCGCGTCGAGCCATCCCCACGGAATGTCGCCAGGATCGCCGTGGGCGTCCCACCCCTCACGATCGCCGTGAGCCACCTTGAGTCGTTTTTTATTGAATTTGTGAACTTGGAATAGTGTGTACTTTTGAGCGTGTGGTTTGTAATATATTGTGGATTTCGGACAAATTTGGTCGTTTGTGATATATAAATGTGGTTTGTGACATATTGGTGTTGATTTGTGGTTTGTGATATATATATATATATATATATATATATATATATATATATATATATATATATATATATATATATATGCTTTGTTGTTTACATGGAAAAGCAAAAACAAAAAAAAAAATTAGAGGTGGCTTCCCAGAGTGCACGTGCTATGGCACTTTCGGGAAGAGGGATTTAAAATATATATATATATATATATATATATATATATATATATATATATATATATATATATATATATATATATATATATATATATATATTTGTTGTTTACATGGAAAAGCAAAAAACAAAAAAAAATTAGAGGTGGCTTCCCCGAGTGCCTGTGCTATGGCACTCGGGGAAGAGGGATTTAAAAAAACAAATTTCTTCCTCGAGTACCTGAACTGCGGCACTCGGCAAAGAGTATTTAAAAAAAAATCAAAAATCTTTTCCGAGTGTTGCACTCGGGGAACAAAATCAAAAAAAAAACGACGTCCGCCGTCGGCCAACGGCGTCAAGTCTTCCCCGAGTGCCAGCACGGCACTCGGCAAAGCCTTCCCTGAGTGCACGATTTTTGACACTCGGGGAAGGCGACTTTCCCGTGAGAGGATTAGCCGGAGACTCTTCCCCGAGTGTTGCACTCGGGGAAGACTTTCCCGAGTGCAACTGGGTCTTCCCCGAGTGCATCTGACACTCGGGGAATCCAGCAGTTCCTGTAGTGTTGGGTTGGGCTTCTTCACTCTATTGGGCCTCTCTTCTCCCACTGGACCCGCCTTGCTTCCGGCCTCCAAGTGGTCTGCTCCCTTTGCCTTGTTGCCTTCAAGTTTCAGCATCGCCCCGTCGTCAGGCTCCTGACATTAACAAACGCCTATAGGAATGTACATACAATAGTAAATCAGCTGGGTAGCAATGCAAGCTTTAATCAAATTCCAACTTTGCAAGCACGGTACAGTTCGCTTTCTTCTTTCGGAGCCGGGATAGATTACCTCGGCGATACGGTACCTTATTTGACGTAACCATCTCTCTCCCTGTACTTCTTGTCGTGATCAAATTTGTGGAATAAATAAACTGAAATTAATTATGAAAAGAAGATAACATCAGGAGAGCGTGCGGTCCAAACGAAACAGTGACATCCATCAACACTGCTTAGACTTCAGAGTACGCCAATTTGTATATATATAATAAACAGGTACTATCCCACAAATTGGAATGTATACATTGTCTCTGTAATCATCATCCAACAATTGTACGTGCACAAGCTGAGCACGATGACCGGCGGTCTCCCTCCAGTAGTGCTTCTTCTTCCCGTGTCGTTGCTGCTTGCATTGGCATGGCGAGCCGCCGCCGGAACTGCCGCCGGAGACCGCATCGGGCAGCTGCCGGGGTAGCCGGCCGTGGACTTCCCGATGTACTCGGGGTACGTGGCGGTGGACGAGGGCCCTGGCGGGCGGGCGCTGTTCTACTGGCTCCAGGAGGTGCCGCCGGAGGCGCAGCCGGCGCCGCTGCTGCTGTGGCTGGACGGCGGGCCCGGGTGCTCGGCGGTGGCGCGACGCTATTCCTCAACGACAACCGGTGGAACACTGCTGCGCACCGTTGTTGCCGTCCGTACGTAGCTTCCATGGAGATCAGCCTCTTGGCTAGCTCGTATACGATCGTGGATTATAAGCTGGAATAGTATTTTTTCTTACATCAAACTGGCCAGCAGTAAATAATCCACGATCGTTTACGATGAAACGAATAGGCTGCTTGTTCCTGGACTCGCCGGCCGGCGTGGGATTCTCCTACACCAACACCAGCTCCGAGCTTTACACCAATGGCGACAACAAAACAGCCCACGATTCATACACTTTCCTGGTGAAATGGTTCCCCATCAGATCAGTGGACTGAAGCAGCAGTGTATCATGCATGTACACAGATTGCACCAAAAAATTTCATGTGTTTTTTTTTGCTAAAACACATATGTGTTGTATAGCATTTCTATTTTTTATTTATACCAATTCCACCTGGAAAACACACCAAAATAATCACCGTAAGCAGCAAGTCCAATAGTCTGTCTAAAAGTAGATTGCGAAAAATAGGATTTAGGAATTCTCTAAAAATAATAGCTCATCAAAAAGCATTTCAAATTTGACATCACCAACTATATCAACAGCACAGCAACATCAAATACACTCAAGAAAATATAATGGTCAAACCCAATCTATTCATTTAAATGTCTTTATTAATTTAATTAGATAATTAGGAGAAATAACAAACATATACTAAACGTGCAAAAAAAAAATCTCAGGAAATTACTGTGGCTTCGAAGTGGTACCAATAGACTCGCAGCCATGCTGCTCAGCTAGCGCTAGCGTGGTCGCCGTCATGTCGACGGTGATGCGGCACTGCCCGGTGTAGGAATCATCCGCCAGGTAGCCAGACGCCACCAGATCCTCTCTTGCCGTCACCACGAGTGGACCAGAGAAATCCCCGGACTTGCAGAACTTGTGCGATATGCTCTTCTTCTCCGTCGGCTCCAGCCTCCCGGCCGGACCAACCAGGTGGCAGCTGAGCTTGGCCTTGACATCACCACCGCGCGCTTCGGAGAGCAAGACGAGCTTGAGCTTGATGAGCTCGATGGCGGCCCTTCCAGTGATCCTTGGGACGCAAGTGGACCGCCCAGTCGTGGCCACCGACGGACCGTTTCTTGGACTTGATGAACTTGCCGTCACTCATGGCCCTGGTCTCCGAATGGCCTTCCACCTTGAGCAGGAGGTCCATGGAGCGGGCAACCTCGGTGTCGGTGAGGTTTGGCATGGTGGCGAATCTGTTTGTGTTCTTGCTAAAACATTTGCCCAACAAGCCCAATTTATGGACACCGGCAGGGTCGGTTGGGGTACTGTGGCGCACTGGCGTTTAATTGAAGTGCTGACGGCTCTGGTGCTACGTATATACGCCGTTCGAGATGAGGTCAGGTTGACCACTACAAACGTCATAGCGTTGTGCGATATCCTTGCAAAGAATCTCTGAGGCCTTGTCTAGATTGCAAGTTTTTTCACTCTCTCTTCATCACATTAAATCTTTGGACACATGCATATTGAGTATTAAATGTAGATAAAAAAATAACTAATTACACAGTTTAATTGTAAATTACGAGACGAATCTTTTGAGTCTAGTTAGACCATGATTGAACAATAATTATCAAATACAAACGAAAGTGCTATAGTGTCGAATATTGATTCCTAACCGCGAACTAAACAAAGGCCTGAAGTGCAGAGGATGGTTCCCTGTTCCTAGGATAATGGCATGACAGGTTACACTACTGTAGTTCAAATCATGACTGCAAGTTTACAGTTAAGCTTAGACTACAATAGAATGAATTTTTATAGCGCCGTGTGGCACCAACTCCATGGCGATGACAGGCTTGCTATTGAAGGAATCAAAGGGGTGGGACAAGGTGAGATGAAGAACGGAGCATAGCACTGAGAGTTGTACGTACTGCTGCTTTATTCAGCCAAGCTTTATAAGGCCCCGTTTAGTTCCAAGCCAAAAACCAAAAATTTTCAAGATTCTCCGTCACATCAAATCTTGCGGCATATGTATGGAGTAGTAAATGTAGACGAAAAAAAAAACTAATTACACAGTTAGCCGAGAAATCGTGAGACGAATCTTTTAAGCATAAATAGTCCATAATTGGATAATTTTTGCCAAATAAAAACAAAAATGCTACAGTAGCCAAAAACCAAAATTCTTCGGAACTAAACGGGGCCTAAATAAATTACTCCCTCGGTTCCAAATTATAAATTGATTTGACTTTTTTTATACATCCATTTTGCTATGCATCTAGATATAAAAAAAGTCAAAGCGACTTATAATTTGAAACGGGGGGAGTACTCCCTCCGTCTAGGAAAGAATCTAATTCTAGCACAGTGTTATGGTTTAGTATCCTAAGTTTGATCAATTATAGATAAAAAATGTATCAATATTTATGATATCAAATAAATATCATTAGATTAATTACGAAATGTATTTTTATAATAAATTATTTTGGAGTTGTAAATGTGAATAGTATTCATTAGAAATTTGGTTAAACATAAACCACGTTTGTTGGCACGCAACACGTAGTTGCATTCTTTTTTTTTTTTTGATAGAGGCAGTAGTAAAGAAAATGTGGAGGTAGCTGTCTCTTGTTTTGAGCTCATCAATGTGTGGACAAGATGAAATAGGCTGCTCCAATGTGTGATCAAGAAAAGAGCAGGAAAATTAACGGAAATGAAGTGAAGAGGTTTGTTCCCTGTTCGTAGGATAATGGCATAACGAGGAAGCTGCAGAGTAAATAAAACTTTTGATGGTTGTTGCTTGGCCACGTGGCCGTGGCTGTTGGATTTCGCCCCATCCCCATCACATTCACAGGCACAGGCACTGCAAAAAGTTAATTTGGTCAGCCAGCCCGTTGCCGTGCTGCTGTGTGTATTACCTGCTGCCGCTTGCTCTACTTGAGACGCAGTTGCGATGTGTGTGGGCTTGCCCTTTCCACCCTATTAATGCTTATTACACCACCAGCCTTGCTGTTGAGAAGGAATGAAGGGCCGGGATAAGCTGAGATCAAGCGCCCTGTTCGCTTGGCTTATAAGCCGTATTTTTTTAAACCAATGAACAATATTTTTCTCTCACAACAAATCAGCCAACAGTACTTTCAGCCATGGCTTATCAGCCAAGCGAACAGGGCACGAACATAGCACTGAGGGGCATGACAAAATATGTAGTTTTTATTTGTCAGACAACATTTTTCGAAGCGCGGACCTTGACAAATTTTATTACATTATATATATAATACAGGGCCTTGAAATTGAAGTACCGAAGTAGAACATACTACACGCGCCTAAGAGCACAGATGACTTGCTACCTTTGAACTTCTACCGCTTTCTCTTTGAAACCCTCCGACCGGGTCTTGGCATGGCCTGGCTCAGAGTAACTGATGCAAAACCATGTGGAGAAAGCCAAAACAGAGCATAATCTGTCGGTACTGGTTCATGGACCAAATAATCGAGGCCATCTGATCTTGCTATCTCCTCCAGTTGCTGCACACTACCGTTTCTCTTTTCCCTTTTGCCTCCGTACTCAATACCGATCTCCTCCGTTGGGTAACAAGGATCATGAGGTGTTTCATCAAAAAAAAAACAAGGATCATGAGGTGTAAATTAGGCAGCAGCGTGAGTTCTCCTATCGCAGATTCAGCTACAAGCTTGAACTGAGATGTCAACCACTGGATGCACTTAATACTGATCCCGATTATATCGGTGTCTTCCGAGATTCGTAGGCTCATGAGTAAAAAGAAGTGTTCCTCCAGCTTCCTAAGATCATTATATTCATAACATAGTGTGACCTCTACGCCACGCCCTTCCACAATAACGGGATGTAGGTCTAAACTGAGGGATTGCCTTCGATTCTTTACGATTTGACAACTAAGAGTACGTTTTCCCTTCAAGAAGATGCCTAAGGAAGGGGTAGCGGAAGGTGTCATGCCGCAGCGGGCAACCGGGCTCCACCTCTGCTACAATCATTTCAGCCCAGTCTACATACCTCTCAAATATTTGGGCAACGGAGGAACTCAACTTTTTCTCCTTGCCCGAGCCAACAAGAGAAGAGATGGAAAAGTTTGGAGCCATATCTGCGATCCATTGAATGTACGAGGAACTCCTTACCACTGCTTGCCCCTTCTTTAATTTCATGGCCATCGTTGTCATCCTGCGGCTTGTGCTTGTTGAGCAGTTCTATCCCCTCCATATATATATATAAACTCTCTCGAGAACCTTCCTGCTACGTAGCAAGGAGACATATGTGATTGGTATCCTCCCTGTCTTCTCAAGGGCAATATCCAACCGAGAGAGTACAATCTCGAGCCTTGCGATGGTGTCTGCCCTGGACGCCTTGTCTTCTACCTTGGTTGAGATGTACGTACGAGAACACTTTGCTCGTACTCTTGCTCAATGCCAGCTGAAGATAGCGCCATCAGGTTACCGTACAGCTGTTCAAGAAACAAATATATGAAGCTTGAATTCGATATTATAGACATGGAATCTTACTATCTTTCTGAGTAGAAACATTATTATAGACCTTTCTTGTTAACGAAATTAATTATCACGAGACAGGTTAGAAGAAAAGGATAAATTTGTAAACCTCTTGCAAAAATAAATGTATCCTGCCAATGATTTGTTATACTCTAATTGTCATCAACAAAAATAGCTGTTGGATCTATTTTGTTTTCTAAAAAATTATCCACCTCTGATGTTATGAAAATACACAAAAGTAACCCCCTACGAATAACCTGAAGTAATCCATAATCTTCTTGTCAATTACCCATCTATGCCATCATGATTTTGTATTTAGGTGAGTTGTATCCATGGGTGTTAAAATAATCTAAAGTAATCCCAACTCTTCTGTTATATAAATAATGTAAAGGAATACCCTAAAAATGTGCATCTAAATATCTCACGTATGCTACTCTATAAAACTAACCAACAATAACCCTTAACAAAAGTCATGAAGTTGCTGTGGGGATTCCACCAACCTGTTGATGAATACATGCATCGTTGGTTAGTTAGTTTAGTACTCTAAATTTCTATCCCACAAGCAGTACTAGATAAATGTAGTGCAAATCTGTGACAAATGCTTGGGCTATTACCGATGCATGCGTGGAATATATATGCTTGGCCCCGTTCGCTGGTCTGAAACTTGGCTGAAACTGGCTGAAAAATACTGTTCCGGCTGAATTGTTGTGAGAGGAAAAACACTGTTCTGGCTGAAAAAAGAAGCTGAACAAGCCATTTTTAAGACAAATGAACGGGGCCTTAATGTTAATCCTCGCCTTAGCGCTGGCCCTCAAGATCCTGGAGTTCGTACCAACAGATGGAATGAAGGGGAGAGGAATATATATATCAGGAAAAGATCAAACAAGAGATGCACTGCACAGTGCACACACTGCTGCTCTAGTGTTTCTTAGGCTGTGTTTAGTTGTAGGAAGTTGGAATTTAGGGCTACTGTAGCATGTTCGTTTTTATTTGGTAAATAGTGTTCAAACATGGATTAATTAGGCTCAAAATGTTCGTCTCGCAATTTTCCACCAAACTGTGCAATTAGTTTTTTTTCGTCTATATTTAATGCTTTATGCATGGGCCGTAAACATTCGATGTGACATATAATGTAGCACTTTTTGAGATTTTGGCTTCAAACTAAACACACGCTTAGTATTGCTGAGTCTACGAGCTGTAAGGAGAGATGAGAAGCAAAAATGTACACTAGAGCCAAGCTGTAGAAACATGTCCGGTTGGAAAAGTCAAGGAAGCGCTGAGGATGCTTCTTAGCAACTTCCTTGCAGCATACAATCATCAATCATGGCCTAGGAGCGATTTCTGAATGCGACGACTCGAAAACTTGTACGACCATGGTCGGCCTCGGTCGTCGCTGTTGGATTTACCGCGTTCAGTAAATACACAGCGGTGCAAAGAACATCATCTATCTGATGATGACCCGCCGGGTCCTTACTGCCTTACCATCTCACTCTAAGCCCTTGTTTAGTTGGAGTCCAAAATTTCAAAAAGTGCTACAGTATCTGTCACATCAAATGTTTGCGGCTTATGTATTGAGCATTAAATGTAGACGAAAAAAAAAACTAATTGCACAGTTTGGTGGAAAATTGCGAGACGAACGTTTTGAGTCTGCTACTTAGTCCATGTTTGAACAATAATTGCCAAATAAAAACGAAGGTGCTACAGTAACCCTAAATTCTAAACTCATGAAACTAAACAAGGGCTAAGATAACTGAATCACCAACATGCTTTAGCATTTATTTTGCTTTATCACAATGTTTTGGCCACAAGCAATAATGAATGCACGTCATGGATGTACTGTACAAGTCATGTATGTTTGCTTTTGCCTTTTTCACTGTTGGGCTGACTCAGCTGTCCAGCCAATGACTTGCATGGAGTCGCTGGAACGTTCAAGGAAATGCAGAGGCAGATTCCCCCGCCGTGTGCCTATCAAGGTTGCCCAAGCAAATGATCAAGACAAGTTCACAAGGACTTAAGCTGCACTGCTTTACAATCTGACAGCAGTGACTTGCATGTGGCGTCTGCGCAATACTGCCTGGCGTCTGCCACCCTGCCGGCCGGGGTAGCTAGGTTGCTACAAGCCTACAACCACAAGTTCACCAAGGAGCTAGGACCTTGTTTAGATTGCAAGTTTTTTCACTTTCTCTATCATATTAAATCTTTAGACATATGTATGAAGTATTAAGTGTAGATAAAAAAATAACTAATTACACAGTTTGATTGTAAATTACAAGATGAATCTTTTGAACCTAGTTAGACCATGATTGGACAATAATTATCAAATACAAACAAAAGTGCTACAGTACCAAATACTGGTTTCTAACTCTAATCTAAACAAGGCCCAGAGCTGGACGTAGCTAGCTGCACTACTGCACATTCTGAAAGCATGCAATGACTTGCAAGCCTTCGGTCTAGTCATCGTCGCCTCACAATGCAATGACTTGCATTAATTGTCTGCCACTCTGCCGGCCGGGGTACTTAGGTTGCTACAAGCCTCTACAACCACGAGCTCCCCCAGGAGACGACGTATGCTATGCCGTGAAGAAAAAAATACTATGTTGATAGGTTTAAGAGTAGAGCCGGAGGTAGCTGCACAACTGCACATTCTGATAATAATAATTACATGCACGGATTCTCGGTGGAGTATTTGTAGGCATATTTAGGGGAGAGAAGCTTGGAGTAGAAGCCAAGAGGTCTAATCCTATTCTATCACTCGGAATCTATCTTTTCTCTAGAGTAAGTTAGGGTAGTTCCAACGGGAAAAATCAGTAGTTTCTATAACATAGAATACCGCATTAAAAAAGTACTGTTTTTCAACCCATGGTTTCTATGAGTAATAACTATTTTCTCTTTATCTCTCCCAACTCTATCTTCTTCCTCCAATGAAAGTGCGACACGAGCTCCCTAGAAACTGTTGGTTTCTCCCCAATAACGATTTCATGGTTTCTTTGTGCATTGGGTCAAGAGTAGACCTAATTTTTTCATAAGGAAACCATTTCTATGATTTTTGCTCTCTTTCTTCATTAATTATGTTGCTATGTCAGCATTTTGCCTACGTGGCAAGTTATTTAATGAGGATAAAAACCATCATCAATGCACCATTGGGACTGCCCTTAATTTTCATCTCTAATTATCTCTCATCATTCATAGTACGTATCTTTATTTCCAACATAAATATGCATGGTTGCTGGTGCTGGTGGCACTTAGGGCATGTACAACCTACAGACGGTTTTGCTGTCTGTATGATGACGTCGTACTACATACAGACAGCTAAACAGATAGCATGTATAGTAGGTTGTCTGTTTAGCTGTCTGTTAATTATTTAATGCCTGCATGTAGTCAAGATCAAGTCTAAATACTCCCTCCGTCCACGGATACTAGGCGCGATTCAAAAATTCCAAAGACCAAGGAAGACATTAATCACCGCTCGTTGCCAGAAAAAACGTTCGGTTCCTCCCCGTAATAACTCCACGCTCCGCATTCTCCGTAACGCGCCGTTAACCGATCGAGCACGCTCCGCATTCTCCGTCTCCAGTGCATGCATGCACCATGCAGCCGCTCGCGCGAGTTTTTCCGAGAGCCCGCGTTCCTTCCCGTTTCCACGCGCGTTTTTTCCTTCCAATTTTCACACCTGCATGCAGATCCAAATCTCACCCGCGCTATTTTTTCGGCTTTCATCTACATCCGCTAATTTTTCAGATTCATCTACGCCCGCGCTATCTTTTCAGCTGTTGGTGCCTAACTAGTTTGGTTTTTCGGCATGCAAGTGGCGCCACTAATGGCTCGTTTGTGTTCCTATAAATAGGCAATGCAAGCACGCGTGCGGCTGACAACATTCCTTTCTCTAATCTTCCTTCTTTGTTTGAACACCATGCCTGGTTTAGATTTGAATGAACCTATCAACTGGGATGAGATTGGGGAATTTGAGGGAGAAGTACATGAGTTGAACTACGACTATGTTTGGGACGACGGCAACGAAGGTAATCACAGAGACTTTTCTCTTCTTTTTTTTTTGTATTCTTTCATTGTACGAGCGGTGTATTTATTGGCAATGATACAGCTGACGGCGAAGACAACAACGACCAAGATGAAGATGGCCAAGGTGAAGGTGACGGCAACACAGCTGAAGCAGAAGCAGTCCATGGCGAACCTGAAGCAGTCCATGGCGAACCTGAAGCAGGCAGCGGTGCACACACAGTGCAGCAAGTTCAAGGGGCGGCCTCTGTGCAGCAAGTTGAGGAAGCTGGTTACGTGCCTCAAGCAGACGCCGGCGATGAAGCTGATGTTGTGGCATTTGACTCAGGTACTCCATTGCATGCACTCATTATTTTATTTTTATTTTTATGCATGCAAAGCTGAATGAACAGTCCCATGCAAAATTTGAGTATGCCAATGTCTTTGTGTAGGCACTCCTGCCAATATCAAGAGGAGGCGGTACTACCCTCCTCAATTTAAAAGAATCATGTACGCGATGTGCTTAGAAAGAACAACTCCAGGCGTGATGAAGGAGGGAGTGACGAAATCTGTTGCTAGTGATATGGGGGTGCCGTTGAGAGTTGTCCAGCGTGCATGGCGTGAAGGGAAAACTGGTGGTGGAATTTCAGCTTTTGATTCCAATAAGAAAAAAA